GGGATCCATGCCCTATGACAGCTTCTTAGGTGCCTCAGACCAGGCATGTCCCTTCCCTTTCAGGGTCTCAGTTTCTTTATCTCTAAAATGGGTGGGATTTAAGGTATCTTAAATATCTTGCAGTCCCTGACATCTCTCTCACTTCCAGGTTTGGACCCTTTCTCTCCCTGGCCCAGCAGCCCACCCTGCGCTGGATGTTCCTAGCTCCTGGGGTTCTGGTGTGGGTGCTGTCCCAAGGGAATGAGCAGTCCCTCTCACAGAGTAAATGCTCTCCAATTCACAGCTCTGGGCCCACCCCACCTCCAGGGCCCAACAATAGGCCCCTTCAGCTCTAGGCTCTTGCTGAGGGGGTGGGGTGAGTGGGGTGAGGCCTGAGCTGGTAGGCAGGGTGACCAGCTGGGCAGCCTCTGCCCAGCCCTGGAAGAGCCCTGGGAGTGGCTGGCTGCTGGGAGCCAGACTACATCCTTCCTCTCTTCCTGGGAGCCTCGGCTGCCAGGCCTTGGTGCCAGGAGGATGCTTGGGCCAGAGGATGGTGAGAGGCAGCTCTCTGCAGTACCCTGCATCCCAGCCCTGTCACTCGGGCGTGTGGGGTGTGTGTGTGCAAGAGACCCAGGCAACTGCAGGAATTTACCCACTGTCACACTCGAGTGGTGTTTATGTGCGGGAGAGGGATGCTCCAGGAATGTATTAGGGCTCTCAGTGTCCTGTCTCTGGGTGTCAGGGTTGGCACACTGGTCTTTCGCTGGTGGAGCATGAAACAGCTAAAAAATACTTTCAAGGGCTTCCCTGGTGGCGCAGTGGTTGAGAATCCGCCTGCCGATGCAGGGGACGCGGGTTCGTGCCCCGGTCCGGGAAGATCCCACATGCCATGGAGTGGCTAGGCCCGTGAGCCATGGCCGCTGAGCCTGCGCATCCGGAGCCTGTGCTCCGCAACGGGAGAGGCCACAACAGTGAGAGGCCCGCGTACTCCCCCACCCCAAAAAATACTTTCAAGACCAAGTTGGTAGATGTGGGGAGGTACTGGGTTCAGTGAGGGTCTGTGTTGTGGTGTTTAGTCAGGTTCTTTCCTTTCCTCTCTGAAAGTTACACCTCCTCTGTTGGAGTCAAAGGAGATGAGGCGTAGGAGGGTCTCTGTATCTGGTGTGTCTGCCCCTGCTTCTGTGCCCTGCCTTCCCACCATCTGACCCCCCTGTCTCCCTCCTCTCTCTCTGCGAGGCTGGGATGCCTGACAAACCAGACCTCCTGCCCATCTATCAACCCTGTGGTATCCCCAGCTCTCCGTCCACAGTCTGATGAGAAGGCAGCCTTCAGTCAAAGCTCTCCCTCTGCCTTGAGGGACTGCTGTGTTGTCCCCGGGGCTGAAATAGCTTTGTGGGAGCAAAGTAGCTTAGTGGTTCTGGGACAGGAGTAGCTGTAATGAGATTGGCTGCCCTTCGCCCCATGAAGGTGCTTGCTTTTCTGGATTCGAAATAATGGGGGGAAGCAAAGCGAGGGCCAACAAGGGCAACCAGGCTTATTCCTGGTATTCACTGGACATAAGGTGGTACCAGCTCACTGGAAAAGAGACAGGCCTCCTTTCCCCAGTGTCTGTCACAAAGGCTTGAAGTCCCTTTCAGCAAACTCTTTTGACCAGGTGCCTTGCCAGATTCTTCTTTCAAGGTGACAGATATAAACAGATGGTTACAACGTACAAACAAGAGGTGCGTACATAGGGCTCCCTCAGTAGAATTATGTATTAATACAGAGTGCTACAGAAATAGTACCCTTTAAGGATCAGAGCACGATAGATAATTAAATTTTTTTTCATCCTTTTGGCTATTTTCCACGTGTAGTATTATGTGTTCATACCACTCTTGTTTTCAAACATACTTTAACAAAATAACATGGGAAGCAATGGCAAAAAGAACCGTTTGGGGATAGGAAATGGGAATTTACAAAGGAGATGTTTTATTTGCGTCTTGAGGGACCCAAATGTGTAGGAGTTCATCATGAAGAGAAAAGAGTATCACAAAGAATAGCTCAAAGACATTAAAATTAAAGCAGATGTTGTGTCTAGGGAAGGGCAAGTATTTGACTTGGTTGGAATATGGAGACGTTTGAAGGAAATGATAAGAGTTGGAGGTGGACAAATAGGCAAGGGATGGATCCTGAAGGGCCTTGTATTTGGCTCAGTGAGGAATTACAGAAGGATGTAAGCAGGAGAGGAACTTCGGATCTGTGTTCAGATGACAGTATAACAATAGGGAACTGTGTGCCAGATGCTGTGCTAAGTGTGCCATTCATGATCTCATTGAGTTTGCACTTTATGAAGGACGTACTGTTTATTCCCATTTGCAGATAAGGAAATTGAGGCTTAGCGGTTAAGGCATTTGCCCAGAAGTCGTCTGACTAGAGAGTGATACAGCCAAGATTTCAGCCCGGGTCTGTCTGACTCTTGTCCCAAAGCTATTGATGGGAGGAGTAATGAGGAGGCAGAAACAAGATTTTGTGGCCTGCCCAGTGGGGAAAGAAGGGAGTTATGGTTGGGGAGCCAAGGGTGAGGTGTCTAGCCTAGGTGGCTGGTGTTGGCTTGTGATGTTTTCGGTCAGGATATAAGAGCACACATAAGCTAGGTTTAAGGCGGGGGTTGACGAGCTCAATTTGGACATGTAGAATTTATGGTACCTTTGCATCCTCCTGGTGGAGCTGTGGCTGTAAGTGTCTAGAAGCATGGGTGTAGAGCTTCTAGAGCTCAGGAATGGAGACAGACAGCACATGGTGCTAATTGGAGCCCTGGGAGGGGAGGAGGTGACCCCCAGGGAGGGAAGAGAAGGAAGGGCGAGTTCCAAAGTCTTAGGAAATATCCACAGTTAAGGAGAAGGGTGAAGGGCCCTCAGGGTTAGACTCAGGGCCTGTGGGCTCAGCACTGCTGGCAAATATGCCTCAGGCTTCACTGTCCTCAGGGCCTCAGCTGCCAAGCTCCCCTGGAAGGGAGTGGGCCACTGTGGCCTGGAGATGGAGAGGGTGTGGACAGCCATGGTATGTGTCTGAATCACCCCCTTCTCTCCCTTGGCCTGTGGCCAGCCTTCCCCCCAGACCAGTGTGATTTCAGACCTGGGATGACCTGAAGGTGTGGGGTTACCTGGTACAGTTCCCTCTGGGATGAAGTCCCAAGGGGAACCAGCCTGGCCTTGGTCCAGAAGCTTGGGTGCTGCACACACAGGGGTGAGTTGAGGTTGACTGGGCTTGGTGGGGCTGGCATGTGTAGGCAAGATAATCCTCTGGTTGGGAGAGGAGCCATAAGCCCCCCTCCTGCTCCTCCCCAATATGTTGTTTTCCCTCCAGGGCCTGGAGAAGAGGGAGGGCAGAGATACGAGAGAGCTGGCCTGGCATATGTTCCTGAGAATACGGTAGATTGTTTTGGAAAAATCTCCTTGGCCTGAAATTACATGTCACGTCTGCTCCTCAGTGTGGATTTGTAACTTGACTGATGCTGTTGGAGAGCCTGGGGGAGGGGGGTGGACGGCAGAGGCAGGCTGGTTCCTGGGCCACTACCGGCTCCCTTTAGAGATAAGGGGGCAAGTTGTAGACCAGAGGGTGTACATGTGGGGTGGATTCCCCAAATCCTAGAGGCAGTTTGGATCTTGTGGGTATCTTGTAATAGGATGGCTTTCGGAGGCAGGGGCCTTGTGGAGGGAGGAGGTAGGGAGAAAGCAGGATGGGGGAATGGTTTAGATCAGACTCTTTATCCAACCAGGAGAAGAAGGGATCTGTGGGCCTGGCATTTTCAGTCTCTCTTTCTCCACAGCCTCCCGAGTGTTCCTGCAGCTGCTCCCAAAACCAGTTTCTGCCATAGCTGCAGTAAGATGCAGAGGAGCTTCAGCCTAGAATAAACACCCTGCCTGGCAGGGTCACCCCTATGCCAATGCGCTTCAGCTGGAGAAGGAGCTTTTGAAGAGAGTGAGCCTTATGGGAACTCACTTAGTGCCCACCCGGGGTCTCCTTCCTCAGTCTTGAGGTGGAGTGTGTGTGGCGGGGGAGGGGAGTGGGGAGTAGAGGTGTCTCAGCATTTCCCTCCTCCTCTGCCGCAAACCCCCAAGGTGTGAGGGTGCCCTGAGCTCATCCCTAAATACCTGGTACTGAGGAGTCAGTGGATGCTTCAGATGCCATTGGAATGAGAGGGTGTGCGTGTGGCACCTTGGGGCCTCTGCCGTGGGACTTCCTCCACTAGCAATGTCCTCATCCTGGCACTGGGTGACAGCCCTGCGTGGACACGTGTTGGAGCAGCTCCTGCGGGAGGGAGTGTGGGTACTCGCACTCTTCTGAGCCCAGAGAGGTCAGCCACAGTGCTCTGCCCGGGCCGAGCAGTCTTGGGGGCGGGGCGGGTGGAGGTGCAGGCAGGGAGAAGTCCAGGCTGGTGAGAAGAGGCGTGGGCTGCGGAGGGCTGAGGTCTCCCTCCCAGCGCAGATGCGGGGGGCGTGGCTTCCACTGCGGAGAGGAGTGGGCTGGGCAGGTTCCCCGGGACTGAGGGGAGTGCGGAATGGCAGCGCACCAGGGAGCCTGGCAGGTGGGCGCATGCTTGGAGCCCCGTGGAAGCTGGGCTGGTGGAAGGAGAGGGGTCTAGAGGGAGGGGTCTCAGGTCGAGTTAGGATGGGGGCTTCTCTTCTGTGAGCTTCTTGGACGGACCCCCCCCCTTGTCATGGAGTATGGGGGCCCTTGAGTCCCCAGGACCTGATAGGTGGCTGTGGATCTCTGGGGTCCTGGAGGCGGCCAGGGGCCGAGGGGAGCTGTGGCTCCGTGGTCAGTGAAGGTGCAGTCCCGCACCTGGCTCTCTGGGGGGCAGCCTGCGCTGCGGAGAGGCGGCTCCTTGGAATGGAGCCTGTGCACGGGATTGGGGGAGGGGCAGCCGCAGGCCCAGTGGGAGAGACCGCTACCACCAGGCTCTGCTCCCTCGCTCTGGCTGCAGGTGGCAGATATGGGGCTGTGGGGTGCGTGCGGGCCCGAGGACTGGGCCTTCCCTTGGCTGAGGTGCTTTAGCGGCCCCTGCCCTCCTTCTTGAGGATGCTCGAGGCCCGGCCCCTCAGGACGCAGGGCAGTGACGCTGCCGGTGCGCTGGAGGGGCGGGAACTGCGGGAGGGCTCTGCTCCCCTCCCGGGCCCTAAAGCCCGGAGTTTGGGTTCCAAGGGTGAGAGATTTGCATATCTGCGCCTAACTGGGGCCAAGGAGGGACAGCAGGTAATCGGGGAAACCTGGGGGATAGCCAGGTAGCCGGGCCCTAGACCGCATCGTCTGCTGGTGAGCTGAGGGGAGCCTTTCAGGAGTGAGGGGTATCAGTGATCCTGGCCCCAGGACAGATCCTCGGGGCTGGGATGCTGGGTAAAGAAGGGTGATGTGTTTGTGTGTGGGGTGGGGCGGGGCGAGTCAGTGGTGGTGAATTCCTATTACTGACATCTGCTTCCTATTGCTGACATCTGCTTCAGTATCTCTGAGTCCTTGGGACTCAATTAAGCTGCCCTTTGGGCTTGCTTCATCGCTGCAGGGGAGCCCCGAAAGCACTGCCAGGATGTGGGTTTAGTCCTTTATGGACACTGAGTCCCTGTGCCCTGGACATTCCCTCTTACTGGCTTTATGAATCTGCGTATTAAGCCAAATGTCCCTGTTTGCTTTGGAAAACATGATCATGGTATTTATGGGTCGGCTTCCCTTCCCCTTGGAGATCAAGCACTTTCTCTCTTGACCAGTAGAGGGCAGTCACTGACAGGACGAAGCGGGGTGGGGGTGGCGGTGCAGAAAGGTGGCTGTTTTCCGGGGCTGGGAGAAGAGGTCCAGGAGCTGGCCTGACCTCTGACCCCTGACCATGTTTTGCTTTTCTCCACAGCCTCCCACAGCTGGATTGCTGAGCAAGCTACTGAGGCTTGTTCTTACCTGATGTGCAAGGGAACAGGCAGGCATGGGGTTCTGGTGGATTTGGGGCACATCTTTCAGGGGTGGCTATAATTTTCAGTCTGGCCATTCCAATCCAGCAGTCACCCAACTTGCGGTAGAGGGAATAATCCTGTTTAAATTGTCCCTTGAAGTCAGGTCCCTGGATCTCCTTCAGAATGGTGCTTTGTGGGAAATAAGCAATAGGCTTCTCTGTGCTGTGGGCATTGTGAGCCAGCGTTTGCGGGAAGGTCAGCTCCAGTGTGACCTTGACCCGACCTCATGTTGTCCATTAGCTCTGATTCCATTCTCAGACTGGTGATTCACTGGCACCGAAGGGAGGCTGCACCTGGCTGGCCTCACAAGCTTTGGGTGGTGGTGGATGACATGACAGGGGGATGGGAAAGAGGACTGATTGCTGGGGGTTTCCCATTTCCCCCCTCCCTGAGTCAGATCTGGAAACGGCTGTCCTTGCAGGCACCTCCCCACCAGGGAGGTCAAGCACTGAGAGAGAGGCCCTGGAAAGAGCCTGGGATGCTGACTCCCCAAAACTCAACCCCAGCTGCCTACTCCACCAGCCAGCTGGGACTCCCAGAGCTGGTGGCCAGCTGGATAGGGACAAGAGAGCAGTGTGCAAGAAACAGGGGCTCCCTGGGCATGGCTGGGAGGGGGGTGCTGAGGGAGCCTGAGAGGACTTCCTGCAGCTGTCAGGTGTGTCTGGGGGCTGTAGCGAGGGGGGGTGTAAGAGCAGCTGGCGCCCTTGAGGAGGGCCAGAGGGATCACTTGTCAGCTCTAGGAATGTGTAGGTTCCACGGGGGCTTCATGGGGTGACTGCAGTTCCCTCTAGCTGGGGCTGTTGTCTGTGTGTGTAGGTGCTATTCAGTAGACATCCTATAGCCCGGAATCCTCTAGCTTTGGCTGGGGGCATCGCAGGGTTTAGGAGCATATTTGTGTGTTTTGAGGGGGCTTTGGATCTTGGCCAGCTGGACTGGGAGATTCTTCCCCCCACCCTGGCTCTTGGCTGGACTGCCCCGCTCTGGCAGGCTGCCGGACTCCTATTTCCGTCGGGCACCAGGGTAACAGGGCCACATTAGGGCCTGAGCCAGGAGACGCCCAGCCAAGGCTGGGACTGGGAGATGGGGGAGGGTCTCCCAAGGGTCTGCCTGCAAGGTCCAGGAACGACTCTCTGGTGTTCAGACCCCCAACTCAGGCTGTGCACTAAGCCCTCACAGCCCCAGACAAGCGCTACGGGGGCCTCTTTGTATATTGCTGCCTGATTGACCTAGCCCCCACCCTAAAATCCCAGGGGTTGTCTTCAGCTCTGGGGGCTGGGGTGGAAGCCAGAGACAGGGGCCTTGTGTGCGGGGAGGAGGTGGGGGCAGCGCGGGTGGCTGGGAGGAAGAGTCCCCCCATTCCCGCCACCCTCTTGGCAGTGATTCAGAAAGGTCCTTTTTCAGCCAGTGTCAGAGCTGCTCAGCTGCGGAGGGAGGGGGGAGGGAGGCGGGCTGGCGGGGGAGCCAGGGAGTAGGGCTGGAGCCGTGACCACTGCGCTGGAGAGAAGACAGAGAAACAGGACCGAGGACCCAGGCTGCAGTCAGCTGAGAGAAGAACTAACTCCTGCCAGGGTAGCCAGCTGTGGAAACAGCTGTAGAGCAAAGAAAAGGGGACCACCCTATTCTCCATTTCCCACCCCTGGTGTGGGATTTGGGGGGCCTCTGGGGCAGACCTCTGGCCAACTTCCCTTCTGGGCAGAACCTGAAATTCAGGAGCTGAGACCACTGCCCACCCCACCTCCCTCAGGCCAGAGCCCCGGTGACCTGGTCAGGGGGTCCAGCTCCGTGGAGATGCCAGCAGCTCGTCGGTTCCCTGGCCTAGAGCTCTCCTTCCCTCTTCTGGCCAGACTCCGGCGGAGACTCTACACAGTGAGTGGGGGGTTGTGGGTCGGAGCTGGACAGACTGAGAGGCAGCCCTGCGCTGAGGGCCAGAGAGCAGGACCGGGCTGCTTGACAGGGGTTCAGGGCCTCCCTGCTCCAGCGGCTGCATTCTTGGTGGCGAGTGTGTCAGGAGAGCGTGTGTGGGAAGTGTGCGTGCCGGCCATGAGAGCCACACGTGTCAGACACAGGTGTGTGGACGGGGCTGTGCTGGGGGCAGCCGCAGCAGTGCTCTGTGCTTCACCAACAGAGACACGGGCTAGAGAGGGAGGGAGGGGAGGGAGGGGACATGTCCAGGGTCACCGTGGGCGGGGTGGCGGAGACCGGACAAGGACCCTGGCTGCTTTCTTCTCGCCCAGATCCCAGTGTTCTCTCTAGTCTTCCGCCCCACACACACAGCCCTCCGCCCCACGCAGAGCAGCCCTGTTCCTGGGGTTGGGGAGCAGGGAGAGGAGGACCCAGCCGAGCAGGGAGATTTGTTAGCTGGTGTTTCAGGGGTAAAGGAACAGGGCAGACTGTGCTTTCTAAGCAGCTTCTTCAGGGGAGGGGCCTCTGGGTCTCTCCCAGCCCGGACCACACAGGGCAGGGCTTGGAGCTGTTCTCAGGAGTGGCTGCCTCCTACCCCCAGGAGGGTAGGAATGAGTGGCCTGGAGCCCTGGGATTCCAGGACTGGGGAGGAAGCAGTGGGGATCTTCAGACCACTTGCCCTGGTGGCCAGCCTCTTCTTGGGCTGAGCCGTGTAGGGGGTGGGATCATTTTGCTCCAGGGATGGAATAGTGATGGCGGAAGTGCTGGCTGGCCTCTCCTGGTCACGCCACAGAGAGACGCTGCCTAGGTTGGTGATTTTCACAGGGCACCTTTGGGGCTTTCTTCTGGAAAGCAGTGGTGCCCTGCCCTCTTAAGTCCACACCCCCTTGTTTGTAACAGATGGCTTTGCTGTGGATAAGTGAGTTAATACAGCTAAGTGCTCAGAACTGTGCCCGGCATGTAGTTAACTGTAGTTGAAGTGTTAGAATTTTTATTTTTCTTAACTAAAATTAAGAGAAATACAACCTGTTTACTCTGTGTGTGTGTGGTCAGTCAACTTAATGCCTCCTGTAATACAAAGGAGAACCAAAAGAAAATCGGTCGTAGCATTTCGTGTATTCTAATATGTCAGTACAATCTGACATTACCAAGCAGTCAGATGCTAAGACCTCAGCTAGAACCAGTGCGGCAGCATCTACACAAGTGCTGACTGAGAGGAGAGTTTTGAAATAGTAGCGTGGGCTGCCTTCAGTGATATTTTTCTGAATGGTGGACAACTTCTGCTAAGTTCCAAACAAAGCAAAAGGCCAGTTTTCCCTCAGTTTACACAGTAGCTCCATTCCAGGAAAATTCAGTCTGTATTAACACTGTAAAAATACTTTCTTGTTCATATGTAAAATGGGATTTGATTTATAATCAGATGATTATAAACAAATTTCTCGCCTGCATGAATTAAGTTGTATGGGATTTGGGACAGTGTGTGAGTCCCCCGGCCACCCACTCAGTGCCACTAATGGTCCCCCAACACTGTGACAGCCAAAAATGCCCCCTAGGGGGCTGTATGGCCCTCATGAGAACCATCTGAGTGAAGGGTTAGGGCTTAAAGTTTGGAAACCCCCTTCTGGCCCAGCCACTTTGGTAGAGGAGCCAGGGTTTGAACTGAGGGCTTCTCTTTCCCAGTGGTGGCTCTTTGTACTGCCCTAAGCTGCCTGGGAGAGTCTGAGCTCCTGGCACTGGGTTGGCAGCACCGCTGGGAACTGTGAGAGCAGGAGGCTCACGCTGGTCCCAGGCTGTGATCACCTGCTCTCTTAGTGCGACCTGTGATGAGCACTGGAGGACAAGGCCACCTCCAAGTCGGGAGGAGGGGGTCTTGGGGCAGCTGGCCTTTTCCCTCATCCCTGTCTTCTCCAGTGGGGATTGAACACGGGTCAGGGGCTGGCCAAGCCCTCAGCTCTGATGGGTCTTACTCGGACAAGGATGGGTTTAGTGTCGGGCTGCCTAGTTTTGAGGGTGCCACTGGCTTCTTTCTCTGGGCCCCAGAGGGTGTAACAGGGCTGGTGGCCCCTTGGCTGATTGAGGCCTGCATGTAGTTTTGTTTGACCAGCACAGCATACACATGTGCTTGCGTGTGTGTATTTCAAACTTGAATTAGTTGACATAGTTCAAAAGTCAGGAGAAATATCTAATGTCAAGTGTAAACAAGGAACAGAATGGTGTGGGTAATGGGTGAGTATTTGTGTGGGGAAAAAACAAGTCTGGAAGAACGCGTAAAAGTCATGAATGGCAGCCGACTTTGGGGATGGGGCTGAGGTGGCTGTGCGGCAAGAGAGGGATGAGACTTTACGGCTCTCATGTGCCTTTTGAATATCTTACATGTGCGTATAGTACCTTTTCAAAAAAAATTTTACTAGCGAGATTTTACACGTCGATTCAGATTTCTGGTATTTCTTGAAAAAGTTGAAAGCTTTGACCACACTGGGCCAGAGTCTGTTGTGACAGCCGTTGACAGCAGTTTGAAAGCCCTCCCCAGCCTCTGCCCCTGCTTCCCTCTGACCCTCCTGTGGTCCTGGAGGTGTTTGTGTGGTGGCCTGTGGAGGGGTCTTTGGACCTGGGGGGAGGCTCATGCGATGTCAGGCATTGAGAGGAAAGTAGCTAGAGCTCATCTAGTCCCTGTGGGGTCCATCAGGTCTGGGGAGCTCATGGATGGGTCTCAAGGGACACTGCACCCTGAAAAGTTTTGTAATTAAAACATTATGAATAAGGATGCATATATTTTTCTGGAGACACACTCGATAGTTTTCATCACATTCTCAAAGGCCTTGTGACAACAGGAGCCTTTAAGAGCCAGTGGGGAACCAGAGAACAGAGTTTGATCTCAGGTCACTCGGCCATGGATGGCAGATTTGGGGAGTAAGACCCTAACTCCAGGGCCTGGGCTGTGTCCCAACTGCCCTGATTCCACCCTTGTTGCCATAGGAGGAGGACAGGTGGCTACAGGCTCTTCTGTACAGCTGTTTTGGGGAGCAAGAAGGTGGTGTGAGTCCTTCCCCACAGCACATAGTAGGATGTGGGTGAGCCCAAGGCAGAGGCAGGGTCGCCTGTTACCCCCCTGCATCCTGTGGTCCCTGAGCCATTCTTCTCTCCCCGCAGAGGCTGGGGAGCAGCAGCATGCAGCCGGAGGAGGGCACAGGCTGGCTGCTGGAGCTGCTGTCCGAGGTGCAGCTGCAGCAATATTTCCTGCGGCTCCGCGACGACCTCAACGTTACCCGCCTGTCCCACTTTGAGTATGTCAAGAATGAGGACCTGGAGAAGATTGGCATGGGCCGGCCTGGTAGGTGGGGGCATTGGCCTTGCCTGTCGTCGCCCCACTGACCATTTACCTCCTCTGTTCTCAGGATCAGCAACCGCATGGAAGAGCCCTCCCCCCCTTTATTCCGTGGGGTGGCAGAGCTGAGAACTCTCACTGCCTGTCCAAGAGCCCCCGCGGTGGGGCAGAGGGGCATCAGTAGATGCTGCACACAGTGCGTGCATGAGAACAGTTTGCAGTTGTGAAGGTGAATTGGAGTTTGAGGAATCTTACTTAAATTTCTGGCTACTCAGGATTAACTACACACTCTGTTTTGTTTGTGCAGACGTTTCTAGGGTGTATTTCTTCCATCTTCTCCTCTTTTATAAATGTAGGATTGAGTCTGTTCTGAACACCAGGGGGGTTAGTGTCCAGAGGTCTGTGGAGAAGGGAAGATGAAATCCTTCAGATGATGGTTTGCTGCTTTTCTCCCCATCTCTCCCTTCCTCTGTCTCTCCTACAAAGATCTGTTCTATAAGTTGAATTCTTTTTTTTTTTTTTTCTTTGTGTTTATCCTGAAAGTCGTGGGGTGGCAGAGCTGAGAACTCTCACTGCCTGTCCAAGAGCCCCCGCGGTGGGGCAGAGGGGCATCAGTAGATGCTGCACACAGTGCGTGCATGAGAACAGTTTGCAGTTGTGAAGGTGAATTGGAGTTTGAGGAATCTTACTTAAATTTCTGGCTACTCAGGATTAACTACACACTCTGTTTTGTTTGTGCAGACGTTTCTAGGGTGTATTTCTTCCATCTTCTCCTCTTTTATAAATGTAGGATTGAGTCTGTTCTGAACACCAGGGGGGTTAGTGTCCAGAGGTCTGTGGAGAAGGGAAGATGAAATCCTTCAGATGATGGTTTGCTGCTTTTCTCCCCATCTCTCCCTTCCTCTGTCTCTCCTACAAAGATCTGTTCTATAAGTTGAATTCTTTTTTTTTTTTTTCTATGTGTTTATCCTGAAAGTAGTGACTATAGCTTCTAGAAGTCACGGTGTTTCCTTGTGGAACATTAGAAACTTTCGAGTGCATTCAGCCTGAAATAGCTAAATAAGTAATGATGTGCTAATTTAGACACTGACGTACACTGCTTTTAGCCTAGAGAGTTGATATCTGATGCCAGTAACATAATAAAATTTTATGGGAGAAAAACTCAAAATTGGGGAAATTCTGTCCATTACCTTGATTGATTTATTTTTTCTTGAGAGTTGGCATAAGAGCACTACTGTTCAGTTTTGGTGGTTAAATACCTCAATCCGGTTCGAGAAGAATTGCCTAGAAGTGGAATGCAGTGATCATCTGGTTAATGGCAGCCCCTGGTTGGTGGGGATGGCTTGTTTCCTTGGTGTCATCATGCTGGGCAGTGCCTAGTAGTGGACTCCCCCCAGGGTGACCGAGGAAGCCTGCGATGGGCAGCAGCCTCTTAGGGGTGTGAGCGCCTTAACAGCACGGGTTCCCCTTCCTCCCCGCAGGCCAGCGGCGGCTGTGGGAGGCTGTGAAGAGGAGGAAGGCCGTGTGCAAACGCAAGTCCTGGATGAGCAAGGTGGGTGAACAGGGAGGGACGTGGGAGGGGTAGCTCACTGGGGCCTCCTCTGGTGTCATCCCGAGTGCCTTCCCCCACTCCCCGCAGTATAATCTCGCACTTTGTACAGACCTCCCACCTCCGGGGTCTTATCGAGCAGGGTGCTCGTAGAGCTGCCTGGCTAAGCGTCTGTCTCCGCTGGAGACGGCACTGAGTGGCCTGTGTGCAGCCTTGGCTTCACGTCCCCTCCCGCCAGGCAGTGGTGCCCAGCATGGAACAGGCGCTTGTTGACAAGTGCGCTGTAACTTGAGCCCTCGCTTTGCCTAAGTGTTGGGGCCAGTGTCCAGTGTGGGGCGGTGGGACCGTCTGGACCCAGGACGTCTTTGCTTCCCTCCTTCCGCACCTCCCTAGTCTGTGGAGGGTTTCTCTGGTCACCGGGCCCCACTGACAGCTTCCTTCCCCAGGGCCCGCCCCCACCCCCCCGTTGCCCTAATTTGGGTCTCTGGAGTGGTGAGTCCCAGGTCTGACTCAGGGGAACTTTGCCCATTGTCTGGAAGACAATGTGAGAGGAAGTGAACCAGCCGGGGCCTTCCCCCCACTTCTGGCCTCAGGGCTGGGGAGAGGGGCGGGCAGTGCAGAACAGCTGGATCTGGGATTGGGCCACAGAGATTTCCTGGCTATGATCTGGCAAGGGGCTGTCTCTTGGGATCCTGTGGCCTTTTCTGGGGACACTGTCCTGGTCCCTTGCCCAGGTTTTAGGGGAGGATGGGTGTGTTGGGGCGGGCGAAGGCAGGAGGGAAGAGCCACGCGGTGTGCAGGATTCAGGGGGTCTTGGATCTACCACCGACTCACAGGAGGTCCCCGGGCCAGTCGGTTGACCGCTCCAGACTTGAGGCATGTGGCCAGTAAGACAGTGCCAGCCACACTTGCCCAGCTCACCTCACGGGGCCTTGGGGAGGGTCCCTTGAGAAAAAGGCTGTGAAGGACCTTGTCAGCTGAACACTGCTTGCAAATGGAAGGGATGCCAGTTGCTGGGAGGAAGGACAGAGTAGCAGCCAGAAGAGGCCCTCAGACTGGAGACCCCCTTCACCCCATACAGACAAGGCTTTGTCGACCTTGGGGGCAGGGACCAACTGGGCAGAGGGTGCCGCCTGAAGCCGAGGCTTTGCATGCCCTGGTAGGGTGGCCAAGTCAAACTGACAGGGCCGCTCTGACCCTCAGGGCTTCCCTCCTGTCCCCTGACCTTTGGCCCCTTCCCTCTCCAGCCCAGGCTGCAGAGTCCTCTCCAACCTTCCTTCTTTCTGAGCCCTCAGCTCTAGGCCTCCCTCCAGAAGCCCAGCTGTCTTCCCAGGCCCTTCCCCAGCAAGGCCTTGCTTCATCTGCACCCCCATACACACGGTCCAACCTCAGGCTCAAATTATCCTCTCCCTGGGCAGGATGAAGAGCAGCCGACTCCCTGGGGAGGGTGGAGACAGACAGCGCCAAATGGGCAACCCAGAGACAGGGCCAGGGCTAAAAATGGACAGGAGGTGTTTGTGAGGGCCCCTAGGGCTCCTGCCCATCTGCTCGGGTGAGGGGCTGGAGTCTGTGCTGGGTAGGGGTACAGAGCAGGAAGGGGGGCAGAGGTGGTGCCGGGCTTTGGGCTATCCCTGACCCCACAGCTGGGTGTGGGACTGCAGCCGCCACAGGCTACATGCCTGGCAGCCCGTTTCTGGCACGTAGCCCGAGGCCACACCGAGGCTGTGGGTTCCCGTTTGGAGGTGTGGTCAGGAGGGGGCGTGGGCCTCCAGCCAGGCCGCCCCCCAGAAGTTTGGCAAAACCACAACTTGTCTGGCAGCCTCGCCAAGGACCCAGTGGGGCAGGACTGAATGACTGGCTCTGGGGCCTCAGGGTTCCATCTGGCCCCTGGCTGCCTTCAAACAGGTGTTCAGTGGAAAGCGGCTGGAGGCTGAGTTCCCCCCTCATCACTCTCAGAGCACCTTCCGGAAGACCTCACCCACCCCCGGAGGCCCAGCAGCAGAGGGGTCCCTGCAGAGCCTCACCTGCCTCATTGGGGAGAAGGACCTGCATCTCTTTGAGAAGCTGGGAGATGGCTCCTTTGGCGTGGTGCGCAGGGGCGAGTGGGACGCCCCCTCGGGGAAGACGGTGAGCTCTCTGGGTCCTGTGGGGCGTGGCAGGCCCTGCTCTGCCCTCTAAGGCGGATCTGTCCCCTCTGCTGGGATGTGAAGGGGGCTGGGGACAGGTCCAAAGTGGCTCACCCTGGAGTCCGTGCTCAGGGTTAACTTAGACACATGTTCCTTTTTTCAGTTATAAAACTAATTATCGTAAAAGTTTGGAGACTTAAAAATAAGAAAAAAAAAAAAAAAGCCTGTAATCCCACCACTCAGAGGAAGCAGAGTTAGCATTTACACCTTTTTTCCCCTTCAGATATTTTGTTGAATTTCTTTAAGATACAAATTTTAGATACAACTTTTTAACGCCCTTTCATCTTAGTGTTGTATTTAAAAAATTTTCCCCGGAAGGAAAGATAGCATGTGTGCAGTAAAGCATACAGTTCTTGAGTGTACGGCTCAGTGACTTTTCACATATGCATGGGCCCGTATGACCACTGCCCAGATTGTGATGTACAACAGGGGTCCCCAACCCCCGGGCTGTGGACCGGGACCGGTCCGCGGCCTGTTAGGAACCGGGCCGCACAGCAGGAGGTGAGTGGCAGGCAAGTGAGCAAGCTTCATCTGCCATTCCCCATCGCTTGCATTAGCGCCTGAACCCTCATATCCAGCACCCCCCCCATCCCAGTCTGTGGAAAAACCGTCTTCCATGAACCCGTCCCTGGGGCCAAAAAGGTTGGGGACCACTGGTGTAGAACACCTCTGTCACCCGAGAAGGCTCCCTCGTGCCTCTTCCACTGAGTATCACCTCCCTTCAAGGGAAGCCACTCTTCTGATTTCTGTCACCACAGTTTAGTTTTATGGCATTATATTTAAAGCATTTTCCTTCTACACCAAAAACATTTTTTATCATAACATTTTAATATTCCGTCATTGTACCGGTCATCTCTTACCTTACGGTTGACACTTAACCTGGGCACTGCCGCAGGAAGGGGAGGCCCGGCTCATGGCTGTTGGGGTCAGCTGCCCTCCCCCTGCCAGGCCACAGGCACCTGGGGCACGCTCACCCACCCAATGAGCAGGTCTGAGGCTGGAGCGGGGAGCAGGCTGGCCCGGAGTGTGGAGGCTGGGGCCTGTCCTGACTCTCTGCAGTCTCCACTCTGGCCAGGTGAGTGTGGCTGTGAAGTGCCTGAAGCCTGATGTGCTGAGCCAACCAGAGGCCATGGATGACTTCATCCGGGAGGTCAATGCCATGCACTCGCTTGACCACCGAAACCTCATTCGCCTCTACGGTGTGGTGCTCACGCCGCCCATGAAGATGGTGAGTACTGTGGGCAGAAGGGGGATGGCGGCAGGGAGGGTCCTGTGCCCCTCACCTCCTGCCTGTGCTGTGGTTACTCCCTTCATCCTGACGAAGGTCAGAGGTCCTCCAGATCCTGCTTTGGTCCCCCACCTGATGTGGCAAGGGGGCTCACAGGCCTACCCCGGTACTGACCGACACCGGTGTCCACTGGAGCTCACTTCCGTCTCTCTGGCTTTGGCTCGTGTTCACCGGCAGAGGGTTGCACCCACAGGAGGGGCCGGTCCCAGAGTTTAGTTTTTGGCATTTTGCTAACCTGAGCCTCTTTGGGTTGCTCTTCTGGGCCTCGGTTTCCCGTGTTCCCTAGAGGGGAGAGGCGTGGGAAGCTGTAGGATTCCTAGAGGTCCCTGGAGGACAGGCCAGGGAGGAGCATGGAGCACGGCTCTGGCAGGCCTTGAGGGGAGGAGCTGAGGGAGGGGCAGGGTTCAGCCATGCTTATTCCTCCTTCCTCCTCCGTGGCCTCAGGTGACAGAGCTGGCACCTCTGGGATCGTTGTTGGACCGGCTGCGCAAGCACCAGGGCCACTTCCTCCTGGGTACCCTGAGCCGCTACGCTGTGCAGGTGGCTGAGGGCATGGGCTACCTGGAGTCCAAGCGCTTTATTCACCGTGACCTGGCCGCCCGCAATCTGCTGTTGGCCACCCGTGACCTGGTCAAGATCGGGGACTTCGGGCTGATGCGAGCACTACCCCAGAATGACGACCACTACGTCATGCAGGAGCACCGCAAGGTGCCCTTTGCCTGGTGAGGGGCAGGCGCTGCCGGCTCGCGGGGCCTGGACCCCCCTCCCACACACACCTGGTCCCTACACACCCAGGCCTCAGAGCTTCCAGGGCCTTCCATACACCCACCAGCCCTTGTCTCTTCTGGGCCCGGGGTGCCCTTGTTGTGTGCCCATCCATTCACTTATCCATCCAGGAATTCTCAGGGGCCCACGTGCCAGGTGCTAGGGTGCACAGGGATAAGTGCTGTGGGACACATTAAGGCTTCCTGGAAGACCCAGTTTTAAGCTCCTGAAATACCAGGAGAAGTTAGCCAGGCAGAGACTGGCTGGTAAGCGTGTCCCAGGTAGAGCTGGGGGCAGGCAGGGCCTTGTAGACTGATAAGGGATGTTCACCTGCACACTGGGGTGGTACCTGGCCCTGCCCTGGCCCCTGTGTGAGCTTATCATGTGCTGAGACCATCATGATCCTCTGCTGTCAGAGGCTCCTGGAGGAGTGTCGTCTCCTTGCTTTGGGGCGGGAGGAGTCGGTCCAGTTCTGGTTGCCAGAAAACCCTTCTAATCCAGGATGTACAGTCACCCCTAATTAATTACTGACTTTATATCTAGGATGATCACACATCATCCTGGATTATGCCTGATGTCCTGGAGTAATTAATTAATAGCACCTCCTTTCATACTCAAGCGTCCTGGTTTGAATGGTAAATTATAAGGTCACCTTTTTTTATGCAGCCCTTTTAAAACAGTCCTGTGAAGTGAGCAGATTATTGTTATTCCCGTTTCACAGATGAGGAACGTGGGGCTTAGAGCTCTTGGGTGACTTTCCCTGCGCCCCACCCCCTTTGAGTGGCAGGGCCAGCTCTCCAGTCCCATGAGATATCTCTGATTCTCCATCGAGGGCGGCTTCTTCCCCACTCCCTGTGCCTCAGTCCACCGTGGAATGAATACCCTTTGTTAGCTTCCCTGCAGTGCCATTTTTCTTCCTTACCCAAGAGGGAGCTCCAGAGAGTGTGTGGGTTGAGGAAAGCCACTGTGACTGTTCCCACCCATTTTGGTTCTTCCCCAGGCCCTATCCAGATTTCCCACCCACACCTTCCTGCCGAAATGACCTAAATCCTAGGATCCTGCCCCAAATCTGGAAATTGTCATCCTCCCACCACAATTAGAAAACAGCCTGAGATCTTATCCCACCCCACGTTTTGCCCCTTCTGGAGCTGCTGACCTTCCTTTCCCTGACATGGGAGCATCCTCCTCTCCCCACCCCAGGCCGCGTGTGGAAAAAAGACCTGAGCAGAGACAAGTTTGTCCAAGTCTGTGCACCCCGTAGTTAAGAAGTCCTTAGCTTCACGCTGCACCCCCAGTACCTACAGTGAACCTGGGAACGCGGGGCAACGGCACACTTGTGCATGAGCATTTGGGGTCCACTGGCGCTGATGCAGGGGGTGGGGGTGCTCTGAGAGGCCTTCTGCTTGACCCCTGCCTCTGCCAGGTGTGCCCCTGAGAGCCTGAAGACTCGCACCTTCTCCCATGCCAGCGACACCTGGATGTTTGGGGTCACGCTGTGGGAGATGTTCACCTATGGCCAGGAGCCCTGGATTGGCCTCAATGGCAGTCAGGTGAGGGGGCTGGGGCTATGCTCCCCACAGCGTGGCTGGGGGTTGATTTGATCCTTGTCTCCCAACCTGGCCCTGTTGGAACTTGCTCCTACCTGTTGGAATCCCTGTCTCCCTTGCCCTGTGTCTGCCTGACCCCCTCAGGTAAGCTGAGCAAAGAGCACGGCCCCCAGTGGTCAGGAACAGGCCGGCCTGGGCTTTTTCTCAGTCCTCCTTTGCCACGGCCCCCTGTTCGGAGGCCCCAGACCTAGGGCTAAGGGTCAGAGGCCCAGGGTGCAGGCAGAGCTCTTCTTTGGGGTACAGGCACGGCGGCCAGCAGTTCCAGCTGTTCCGTGGACTGGGGGGAAGATGAGCGGTGAAGAGCCGGGTGCTCTGCTTGTCCTCAAACTGCACCTCCCCACCACCAGATCCTGCATAAGATTGACAAGGAGGGGGAGCGTCTGCCCCGGCCCGAGGACTGCCCCCAGGACATCTACAATGTCATGGTTCAGTGCTGGGCTCACAAGCCAGAGGACAGACCCACCTTTGTGGCCCTGAGGGACTTCCTGCTGGAGGTGAGGGCAGATCTGCCCCCGGGGGCAGGGGTATCGACCAGGTGTCAGCCTGAGGTGGTCAGTGACCTGTCTCTGCCCCCAGGCCCAGCCCACTGACATGCGGGCCCTTCAGGACTTTGAGGAACCAGACAAGCTGGACATCCAGATGAACGATGTCATCACCGTCATTGAGGGGAGGTAGGGAGCGCAGGGGCTGTGCCTGCACCTCCATGAAGGGCGCAGACTGGTTGGGCCTGGGGCCCAGAGCCGTTCTGCCTCTCAGGTCCCCAGGGCAACAGCCCCTCTCAGGGCTCCTGCAGCAAGAGGGGAGGGCAGGCCTGGGTCCTCCTGAGTGCTTGGGGTTAAGTATGCAGGTGCGGTGGCTCGCAGGGGGGTTTCCCTGCCTAGCGTCTCCTCTGTCACCCTTTTCCCACCAGGCCCCAGTGCTGGCTCTGTGGGTTTGGGGCCTCACTACCGTTATGGTGGGGTGTAGGAAGTGGAGCAGCCTGGCCTCGGGGCCCAGCTGGGACTCCTGGACATCCCTCCTCTTCCCTCTCCTCCCAGGATAAGGACTCTGGACCCCCACCTGGGTGCCCTTCAGTAGCCCCAGGCAGCCCTGCCTCTTCCTGGCAGCTTCTGCCCTCCCAGGGCTCTCTTCCATCCTCTGCTGGGCCTCCCACCTGGCCATTTTGTCCCCAGGCTGCCCTCACAGGGTCTCTATTCCCGCCCCCTCAATCCCCCTCACACCTGGCAACAAGTGTCTGCCTGCAGGCAGCCTCTCCTGAGTCAGGTCTCCCGCCTGGAGCCCCCAAAGTTCAAGCCTGCCTGCTGTGGAGGCCCCGCTACCGCTCAGGCCACCCTCTGTTATCTCATCCCCAGGATGTCTGAGGAGCTGGTTGCGGTGGGGCGGGCTAGAGGTGCCTTTGGGGTAGGGGGTGGGCACGGAGGACCCGGAAGAGGAGCGAGGTAGAGGAAATCCCCCGCGCTGCCAGCCCCTCTGACTCAGAGCCAGGCAGGAGCTTCCCACGGAGCCCTTCCTACCTGGACTTCAGGTTTGGGGGTCTGGGACCTTTGGATAAACCTTGTGCCTCATGGGGGGTTGTTGAGAGGGAGTGTTTCTGGGTCTGAGTCAGACTGACAGAATAGGCCCTGGAGCCCGGGCTGGCTGTGGAGGAGCATGGCCTGCACGCGCTGTGGCCCCAGCATGTCCTCCTCAGGCCGGGGCTCCCCTCACGTTCGGGCCCAGTATCTGTGAATTAAGAATGACATCCTAGCAAGTTGGGCGTGGGGAGGTATGGTTGGGGAGTTAGTGGTGGTGGACAGAAAGCTAGAAAGCTGCTAGGAGAGAAGCCTGGAGGACAGGAAGGAATACGTAGTCTGTGGTTTGGAGCTGAGGGGCCAGGGAAGGGAATGCAGGCGTGGCAGTCTGGGGAGCATTCTGGAAATAGGAAGATTAGGGTGGGGGCCCTTCTGGAGGTGCATGGCAGGACCTTCAGCTAGAATCTGAGCCTACAGCCATTCCCACCTCCAGGAGCCAGAGGGCCCTGGACCTGAGCCCTCTTGTGCCCTGTAGTCCCCAGGTCTTTACTTCCCTCATCCCTTGCTCTCAGTAGGGGTGACTCAGGGGCTTTGTGTGTTTCTGGGGCGTTTGTCTCTGGAGCTGGCAACCTGGGTCACCACTGGAGTGAGGCGGGGAACAGGAGGGGAGAGGGGAGCCGCTCCTCCTGGGAGGCCACCGTGGGCGGGCCCTGCCCCGCCCTTTCGTCACAGGCTTGGGTTGGCCCAGCTGCTGGCTCCACCGCCACTGCCTGCCAGTGTGGGCTTGCTGGGTTCTTCCTCCAGGGCCACCGGCCGACTTGGACCACAGTGCCTGCCGCAGGTCCCTGGAGCTACTCAGGAGGTGGGAGGTGAGGGGCAGGAGGCATGACAGCCGGTGAGGCTTTGGGAGTGGGCCTGTGTGTCGGTGGTACCAGGGCTTTAAATGCCCCCTTGTTTCCTTGGTGCCCCAAGTGTGTGTGTTTGTCTGGCTGTGTCTCCGGGTGGGTGGGCTCTGTTCGTGGGTGTCCCTTGGGTCTGGGTTTGTACGTGTGGGTCTGGGTCTGTTTCTCCATCTTCCTTTAGCAGCCTGGCTCTCAGCTGTCTTGTATCTGTGCTCTTCTGTTAGACTGGGATTTCTTCTTGCAGAAGCTGTCTCCTAGCCAGAGTCTGGAGCACCCTTGCCCCTGGCTCTGACAGATTCTTTAGACTCAGGGCTTCTCGGGGCACCAGGCGGCGGGCAGAGAGAGGACACCAGATGTCCTGTGAGCCAAGCTTGCGAGGCTCTGTCTAGACTGTGAGGGACAGATGATGACCACTCTTTTCCAGGGGGTCTTCTTTGGAGGCTGGGATGGCTGACAGAACTTTGATGTTCTGTTTTCACAAACCGGAGAAGGGGGACAGAGATTTTGAAATCCATGTGTAGGTTCTTGGCCTGGCCTGGTCCCTGGAGCCTTTGCTTCCTGTGGTGGGTGGGAGAGGGGGAAGCAAAGGGGGTGTGTTGTCCCTTAAGGCCAGGGGCTGCCGGGGACACCTGGAGAGAAGTGTGTGGGGTGGTGTTTTGAGCAGAATGTTTAAGCCACATTTGTCAGCCATTTCTGGGCTACCTAAGCCAGAACTGGGATAATGGGCTGAGGTTTCCAGAGGCTGGTCCCCAAGAGAGCTGGGGCAGCCTTCGGTGGTTCTTAACCCAGGCCCTGGTGTTTCCCAGGTGCTGCTTCACATCTTGCCTGTCAGGCAGCCTGCTGGAGGTGCCTGTCTTTGCTGCGGGGACTGTGCCCTCCAGTTGCCATGGAGACTCTGGGCTGTTCTTAGAAGGGGAAGGGAGGTGTGGCCAGAGCAGGCTGGGTGGGAAGGGCTGGTCTGGTCCTCTCTGGGCTGCTGGTATCTCCACCCCACTGAGCCTTGGAGGGGGACCAGTGGGCAGCGTGACGTAACGTTGGCCATCTCGGGAGTTATAATTGACCCTCGTTGGGAGGAAGCTGCTTGGGAAGCTGCTTGGGATGTCATTCCCGAGGGGGTCTTTCTTATACACACTCTGCACTCCCCACTCCCCTCCCCCAGTAGCAAGGGCTGTCGTGCCTCCTGCCCCTCACCTCTCACCTCCTTTTTTGAGACTTGATGTGAGGACTCCCAGCAGTGATAAAGGGAGCCCTTCCTTCTAGGCCTGGCTCTAGCCTTGGCCATACCTGTAACAGAGGGGTAGGCTTGGCTCTGCTCTTGCTCTCAGAAGTGGGTCCAGAGGAGGCTTCCGAGTGAGGGTCTGGTAGTAAAAGGAAGGGAGCAGAGGGAGTGACCTCCTGCCCATCTGGTCTTGCTCAGGACCCACTGGGAGGGCGTGGTCACGGCTAAACCTGGCCTTGGACGCGAGTCTGTTCCGCTCTGCATTGCTTCTCCGCCTCAGTTAACGAGCATCTCTGAAGAGGTGTGGAGAGCAGAGTCCAGCGTCCAGCCATGGGCTTGGTGTCTGAGCCTGTTCCGTGGAGGGGCACGTGGGACCCAGGGGGCCCATGGGTGTTGGGTGAGAGCAGCATCGGGGTCTGGGGGCCAGGGGCTCCCCACCCTGCCTCAGCGGCCTGGGGGTGGGGTGGGGGGAGGGAAGGCGTTGCTCTCTTTGGAATGGCCCTGCTATTTTGGGATGGGCTTTGTCCCTTCCGGGTGTTGTCCTCTCTTCTTCCTTCCTTTCCTGCCCTTCCCACCCAGGGGGGCTGGGTGGTAATCACAGGGTTGCTGTGTCTGGTGGCTGGTCAGCAGCCTTGCTGACAAGGAGGCTGGGCTCTCGTCCCTCCCCCTCCACGCCTCTTGGCTCCCCAAAGATTGCTGTGTTTGTGGGGTTTGACATTAGGTCTCTGGGAAAGGCTCTTTGGGGGCCACACTGGCCCAGTGGCCACATCACCTCGCGGAGGGGGGTCCAGGTGTTCGGGCCTCACTGCCTCCTTCCAGCCTCCACCTCCCCCAACCCCTCTGGTCTGGCTGCAGCTTGGAGGAAACCTTTCTTTATGCTCCTGCTGTGGACAGGTCATGTACAGGTGGGGGCTGACAGTGAGCGGATGCAGCTTGGTGCCACACACGTCCGCTGCAGCAGCAGCATGAGGCTGTCACCACCTCTGCCTTAGCCCAGATTCTGTGCCTGTCCTCAGGTGTGCGTGATCCCAGCAGATGCAGGAGCCTCGTGGCCTGTTGGATTTGGGGCATTGGAAGCGTCCAGGAGGGCGCTCTGTTCTTTCTTGCCCACCTGGCCCGGCTCCCACCCCCACCCCAGGCCTGGACTTAGGCTGTGCCAACAGATTCTGTGTCTGAGGTCAGAGCGAGGGGCTGGTGGTCCCGTAGTCCAGCCACGCTGGGAGGCTGGGTTCCCTTCTGGACTCCTTGTTGAAGACAAGAGTGGAGCCCTCCTCCCAAGGAGGTGGATGGGGGCCAGAGTGGGGGTCCCACGGTCCTGGCAGGAGGTGGTGGAAGGCACTGGAGAAGTGTAAGCTGGTGATGTGATAGCATGGGTTGCCCCAGGTGCTTCCAAAACTTGGAGGGCTGACTGCCAGGAGATGGGATTGTGGTAGGAGGGCTTGGCCCCAAGCCCAGTCCTAAGGCCGTGGTTCTCCCTTGGGCCATTGTAGCTCAGAACTCCTGGAACTGGGTTGAAGAGTGAGATCGGGTGGCTAGGAGAGGACTAGGGCTTAGGCCTTGCAAGGGGAGGAGGGAGGCGAGGTGGTATTGTGAGAAGGGCGCTGGCTTCACGGATTAACAACTGGGTTTGAATCCTGGATCTGCTGTACTCTTTCTGGTAACTGTAGGCAAGTCATGTCACTTGTTTGAACCTGTTTCCGTATTTGTAAACTGTAGGAAAAGCTGTCTGACCCACCTAGGGCACTTAGGGTAAGGCTGCGTGCAAATACCAGGCCCTGTACTGGGTGAGTGGCAGGTCCTGGGGGGCTGCTGGGAGGAGGTGGGCTGGTGGCAGGCTACTCTGATCCTGGGCCCTTAGCCCTTGTGCTCCCTTCTGCCAAGGTGGTCAGATACCATGGCTAAAGAGAGCTTGGTGTGAAAAGGGTCCCGGTCCTTGGGACTGTCCCACCACGCCCTGGTGTTCACCACGTCACCTCTGTTGCGCAGGGCTGAGAATTACTGGTGGCGCGGGCAGAACACACGGACGCTGTGCGTGGGGCCCTTCCCTCGCAATGTGGTGACCTCTGTGGCTGGCCTGTCGGCCCAGGACATCAGCCAGCCCCTGCAGAACAGCTTCATCCACACAGGGCATGGTGACAGCGACCCCCGGCACTGCTGGGGCTTCCCTGACAGGATCGATGAGTGAGTACTGGCAGGCTCCCGCCTCTCTGGGCATGCACGCTCTCCAGGCCTCCAAGGTTCCAGTTACAGCCGTGGGCCAAGGGTCTCTTGTTCAGCAGCTTTTCCTTGTCGGCAGAACTGGGGTTGGAGCTTCAAAGGATAAAAGGCCTCCAGGGTCCACACCTTAAGCCCCCCTGGCAAACTGGCTTTAGGAGAATGGACTTGGGAACAGCCTTTGGAAGCAGTTCAGTAGGAAAGCTTCTCATGATCCCCAGCACTTGGGTGGCAGTTTCCCTTCTCCTGCTGGTAGTACCTGAGTCCTGGAGATGGGAGCTGCTGGCTCAGGCCCAGGGGCGCAAGGTGCAGAAAAAGCTCCCTATGGGGAAACTTCAGAGTGCCCACCTGCCTGCTCACTCTGTACCTGGGAGGGAGGTTCAGCCTCCTTTAAGTGAGAAGACGAGGTCATGGTGGTGGGGGGGGGGGCATCTGGGGAGGATACACAGGAGAATTAGTCACTTCCTGGGGGCCCCGCCCGAGGGTGCCGCTTGGAGCTCCTCCTGCTGGGCCTCCGAGCCTCTGTGCTGGCAGCATGGGGCTTCCGGGCAGCGCTCTCTCCTCTGACTTCTGACAGGCTTCTGCCCCGGGGGGCGTGGCGCAGCAGGCCCTTCACCCCCTGCCCCGCACACCAGAACGCTGAGCCCTGGGAGGGTGCCCGTCTCTTGCCGCACAGGAGCCAGGCGAGGGCCTGAGAGAGCTGGGGCCGGAGAAGGCAGACACCTTCCAGAAGGCAGCCCGGCACCCTTTGCCCTGTTCCTGGCGTGCCATGGCCAGCCCAGCCCCATTCCTCTGGGCTTTAATCAGCCCCAGTGACTACGTCCCAGATGCTGAGAGTTGGCACAGGGGTTGCAGGTGAATTGGGAGCGTGGCGGTAGCCCAGCCCATACCCTCCCTCCTGGCAGTGGGGCAGAAGGATGCCTCATGTCCACCCTGGCTGGGGCAGTGTGGCCCAGATGCCTCAGGGCCTGGCAGGAGAGAAGAGAGTGTGCCAGCAGGTGGCTGCCGGGCATGGGTTGGGGTACCTTGGGGTTACAGAGGGCCAGCTCTGCCCTTTTGGGGTGTCCTTGGAGCTCCTACAGTCCTAGGTTTTTCAGCCTATGGTCAGGAGTTCTTTCTCTGCCCCCTCTCCACGGTACCCTCCCCTGGTTCCTGCTAGATCTACAGAAGGGAGCTACCGGGGTCAGAAGTCCTGGGCTCCAGGCCTGCGTCTGCAAGGGGCTTGGATGACGTGGTTCTGTCCTCTGCCTGACCCCAGGGGACAGGCCGAGCACCTCCTCCAGGGTGCCCTCACTGCCGCCGCCCCACACCCTCACCCATCTCTGACCTGCGTCTCTCCCCACAGACTGTATCTGGGAAACCCCATGGACCCTCCTGACCTGCTGAGCGTGGAACTGAGCACCTCCAGACCCACCCAGCATCTGGGCAGGGTGAAAAGTAAGGGCCCCCAAGCCCTGGTCCCCTAGTTCATCAGCTGCCCAGGAAGGGATGCTGTCTCCTCAGGCCACCCCGAGCTGGCTGTTCCTGCTCTGGGACGGTTGGGTCAGGGCAGCGTGGGGACAGCTGTGTCCCTGGCTCCGGCTGGGCGTGGGGTGGACGGCAAGAGGCAGCTGTATCCGCCGAGGTGGGCATCCTCAGTCTGGCCCGCACTGGCTTGCCCGCTCAGCTTCCCTCCTCCCTCCTTCCCGCCGTGCTCAGGTCCTGGCGCTCCTCACTCCCCCTAATCCTGCTCTCCTCTCCTGCCAAAACCACCCCACGGGCTCCATCTTGGCCAGGAGCCTCATCCATCTCCCGGATCCAGGGCCTGTCGCTCCGGAACATAGTTTTCCCATCCTGCCGCCCCATTGCTTCCCATTGCTGCTGGGTTTGTACATTCATTTGCCCCTTTTCACATCTCTCTCTCTCTCTCTCTCTCTCTCTCTCTCCTCTCTCTCTCTCTCCCCCCCCCCCCCCCCCCC